GGCCCCTTTGTGGCTAAAGCGGCAAGGTAGGAGGGAAGGGAGAGAGAAGTATCCAGACCCTAAGAAGTGACGGAAGCAGGAGCGCTCGCTAATATCGGCCCCTCCCCACGTCCTCCCAGCCACCGGCTCCCACTGCTCCCTCCGTTTGTGAAGTGACCCAGGTCACAGGGTCAGGACACAGGATCCTTAGAGCCGCAGAGACTGACCCGAGGGCCGGACTGCTGACTGCTCGCTCTCCCCTTCACAGCCTTCCAGACGGAGGGGAAGCTCTACCTGATCCTGGACTTCCTGCGTGGAGGGGACCTCTTCACCCGGCTCTCCAAGGAGGTAACGCCCACCCCCGGTCGCCGGTCATGGTCGCCGGCTGTCCCTTTCTGTCTGGGACTCAGCGACAGAGGGAGGGAGAGCTGGGGGGCGGTGTGCTCTCTCCCTTCACTTCCTGGTGGTCCCTCGGGCAATGGCACAGTGACCTATGGGGCTGCTTGCAGTATAGTTCAGAGCCTGAGGCTACAGATCAGACCCAGTTCTGACAAAAGCCCTCCTAGAGCAGCCGCCCTTCCAGCCTGGTGCCTGGTCCCCCCTGGGGCAGGCGTGTGGTCCCCCCTGGGGCAGGCGTGTGGTCCCTCCTGGGGCAGGAGCCTGGTCCCCCCTGGGGCAGGCGTGTGGTCCCTCCTGGGGCAGGTGTGTGGTCCCTTCTGTGGTGGTCACTGCAGGGCCTGCTGCAGGGTGTTTCATTTCTGTGGAGACGCTCTGTGTTTTGTCATTGGCACCACGGGTGATGCTGGGAGAACTGACCTAGCGGAGAAGTCTGTGCCCTCTGAGCACCTGCTCTATGTCCAGGGTAAAGTCAGGTCAGGGGAGCTGGGCAGCCTCGGAGCTGCTGTGAGGAAGCCTGTGAATGAGGTGACCGTTTAGGAAAGAATTGGCAGCTGGTGGAACACAGAAGGTAGAGTGGGAGATCCCAGAGGCTGGAGGGAGGGCGGCAGCACCAGGGTCCCCGCCAGGCTGTGGGCACGGTCCCTGCCCCACTGGGAGGCCCTGTGTGAAGTGAGGTGTTGATCTGTGTGCGCCTGGCAGTCACCTCCGGTCCCCGCCGCCCTACGCTGCGCCCTTACTCAGGCTGAGCACCCCGGGGCTGATTTCGTGTCGCCCTCAGAGGGAGCTCTGGGCTCCGGTCGGGACTTTGATCTAGGGGTGAATGTGGACAGTGTTCCCCGTCTGCTCTGGCTCCCTGCCCAGCAGCCACAACAAGTACCTGCTGCTCTGACACCCTGGGGGACAGGGGAGTGTCCTGGCGGCCCGATGACCTTGATGTGTGTGATTTCCCGGCCTGAATCGGGTGCCCCGACACCCAGGTGCCCCCTGTCCCCGGCTTGGGGCGCTCAGCTGACCACGCACCACGGAATGTTGTCCTGGGTAGAACCAGTCACCCTCTGGGCAGGCAGCAGCCGTGAAGTTTGCGGAATCTGTGAAGGTGACCAAGGAGACGGGGAGAAGTGTGTGCCAGGCGTGATGTCAGAGCTGCGCGCCAGCCTCGCGCTTGGCTGTTAAACCTCACGCGTTCACATCAGAAGCTGCTTTGAATGTAAAGCCCGGAGACTGGGAGCTGGCGACCTGCGGGCGAGGCCCCGGGGAGGAGGTCCAGGCGCCAGTGGCGTCAGCTTTGTAGGCCTCGCTCTTCCCTTCCCTGACCTGAAACTATAAATAGACCCCTTTCCACTGT